GCTTTTTAGTTTTGGAAAAAAAAAAAAAAAAAAAAAAAAAAAAAAAAAAAATCACTGGGACAAATTCTGCTCTCAGTTACACTATTGAAAATCCACAGTAAAATTGTCTTTTGTATAGATCCAAGTATAATAATTTAATCTGGTATGTTAGTTTAATTCATTTCACGGTAACATATTTGCACTGACTTTGGACAGTGGTGTCTACCTTTTTGATTGGTCAAAAAAAAAAAAAAAAAAGCCACTCTTTATAGTTTCCTGTTTTCATTTAAAATCAGTTTTCTCCACCTCAGCAGGTAAAAAAAAAAATAGTTTTGTGAACTGTATAAAATCTCAAATGAAAAAAAAAAAACCCACTCTGATAATGTTTATAATTAAATCCAGGACCTGTTTTTAGGGAAATAGAATTTGTCATCCTAGTCATGATGAGTAACCAAAACTTCAATAATAGGAATGGATATAAACAAAAATAGAAAGGGACTGATTCTGTAAAGTGCTACACAATTGTATCAGGGTGGCACAGTTTGACCCAGAATGTGCTGATATATGCTATGGACAGTGGTCTTAAGGCAGGGGTGGGTAAAAATGTAGCCCACAGGGGCCCTAAAATATTTAGAAAATTAATATTTATCTGCCCCAGCTGCCTGTCATGTGGCCCTCGATGGCTTGCCAAAACTCAGTAAGCGGCCCTCCGCCTGAAATAATTGCCCACCCCTGCCTTAAGGTATTTGTACATCACTGTTAAACAAGAAAGGGTAAACAAAATGATGCAAGCAACGCATATTCCTTTTATATTTTATAGGCTTGAATAATTTGATTTCTTTGCTGGACACGTCTACAGATATTGGAGTTTTCTTGAACTCTGTATCTGCCAATCTTCGGACTTTTGTCATTCAGGTACATAATTAACATTATTATTTCAAAGCAGAAAAACTTATCGTATCACTTACCATGTTTGCCTTTCATATTGCAGTAAAAACAATTGTCATATTGCTTGTCAGTAGTCTGCAGCAGTGGTATAGCATACCAATAAGCAGGCAAGACTGTCACATTTACATAAATAGATTATGTAAAAGGAAGAAGATAATTGGCAGACAGAAATTCCATCTGTGCATGCATCTTATATATACACACAGGGAACTCAAGTATTTGGTCTGACTTCCCAGTGATATCCTACATATAAAATCTTCCTTCATAAGCTACATCATATAGAAAAAGGCAGATCAAACTGAAAAACCAATGTCACAAGGTAACTGTTGGGTCCCGAAATCTGAGCAGCTGGTAGGAAGATTATTAGTATTACTCTGTTCCTGCCTGTGCAAATGGATGCAACTACCTTCATGCTATACACATTTATTTCCTTGCCTCCCCAGTTTTTCCATTTTTGCTCCATTGGTGGGTCAGAATTATCAGCAGCTCAGTGCTGCTGCTGCTGCTTCTGCTTTCAGCTAGTTGGGCTAAACCTAGTAATGTAATTGTTTGGGTTTATGTTGTTGCAGTTATTTACCTATTTTTCCTCCCTGGAAAGGAAGGAGCAAGAAAAGCTGAACTTCCTTTTAGTTAATTACTTTCTGTTTGTTCCTGTATTTTTAAGTAATAACACTTGCAGTGCCTGTCAGAGGAACACAAACTGCTTATACCATTTATATTTATGTGTACAAATGACATTAAGTGTTCAGTGCTTCTTTTTTTGATCTAGTCATCAATCAGGATAACTTCTATTTACAGCCAAGCAAGAGTAAAGAAGAGTTTAAACAACTAGCAGCTAAATTCCAGCTGGGATGGAACTTCCTCTTAACTGCAGTAAGCAAGGCTATGACACTCTCACACATGGACAGTTTTGGTAAGTCAGAACACCGTGGTTTAATGGATGTAGATGTCCTGTTGGGTCACTGGCAGCCAGGTTTGGGGGTCACTCAGGTTTCAAAGGGCCAACCAGGATCTGGAGCAGTGAGCAGAATCCAGGTGCAGGCTAGGTCAAAAAGTCAGGAAGTCAGTCCAAGAACTCGGTCCAGGAACAAACCAAGTCAAGAAGCCAGAAGGCCAAGCAGAACACAGAATCTGGGGGCAAGCCAAGTTGAGTAGCTAGGAGATCAAGCAGAGAATAGGGTTAAGCTGAATTAGGTCACCAAAAGATCAGGCAGAGCCTAGAATCAAAAGGTAGGCCAAGTCAAGTAGCCAGGAGATCAAGAACAGGCACAAGCCATAAGGAACAGCAAGACAGCTTAAATAAGAATTAAGCTGTTACCCAGACACTTCTTTTTCCAGGTCTGGGATTTATATGGGAGAGAGTGAAGGGTCAGCTGACCCTGGCTGGCCACTCCAGTCCCAGGGAGGGGGCAGGTGGCTGACTCGGATAGAGGTTTCTGGCCAGCTTTGTTTAGTTTAGCTGGTCAGTTAGAGAAGTGGTAGACTGGACTGAGTGACTGATCTTGGCAGGTGAAGGCTCTGGGTTTAAGGCTGTGGTTTGACAGTGGGTGTGTCTACATGAGCTGCTTAACTGTGCAGTAGCTTAGTTTACTGTGCAGTAGGGATGTGCACGATTACTATGTGGTAAGCCTTGTTAATCTTGAGTAAATTTGCTATATGCAAGTAGCAAATTTACTTTTGATTAGCAACTGCACAGTAGTGCTCATGTAGACACCTGACCAGGAGCAAATCTGCTCTCGGTCAGCTATATACCAGGGTGCAGGAGATTGTTCCCTACCCCTGGTAGCTGCCTGCTGCCAAGGTGGTTACTATGTGAATTAGTGTGTCATGGCAAAAACAATGCTAATGCACAATAGAATTAGTCTACTGTAGATTAAGCATCACAAAAAAAAGGTCACCTTTGCTGCTGTTTATTAGCATGGGCTGATGCATCTTTATATAATACCTTTATATAATATTAGAGGTACTAAACTTAATGCACAGTAGCAAAGGTGCATTAATGAATGTGTAGTCATGCCCAGGATCTTCCAAGCTCTTGTTGACACTGTCTCTTTAGCCTCAAGATGGCCCTATCTTTTCAGCTAGGGACAGAAATTACACATAAACCAGTATAAATGATCAGAAACTGGTTCAAATTGGTAACACCACAGAAGTTCAGTGCACATAATCAGCTTTAAATGGCCCAAAACAGTTTAAGACAAACCTGGACAGATGCAGTATTAGACTTAACTGATTTAGGTTAAATTGTTTTATTGAACTTGTGTCCCAGATCCCCTCCAGATTCAAGTTAACTCACAGTACCCCAGCATGCTTTGCACCTCCCCTGCAAGCTCCCTCTTGTAGGGTGGGTGAGCTAGCCTCAGCCCAGACTGTCTGTTCCAGCTGAGCAGGGAGGCATGCTCTAGCACCCCGTAGTTTCTGGCTATGGCCACTGCAGGCATGTGGCTGTATTGCCAGAATCAAAGGTTAATGTCTGTTCACTTGCTCATCAGTTCAATCTACACAGCTTAGACTAACCGGCAAAGATTGAATTGATTCGGCCTCAGGCTCTTTGATTGTTCTCTCTTAGCTTTATACATCATAGGTTTCTCTTTCCTGTCACTTGCTTGGGATCCTCAGCTTCACACAGTCTATTGGAGTACCCCCTGAAGCCTGCCCAAGCATATCCTGAAGAGAAGGTGAGCCTTGGACTCCAAGATTCAGTCTTCATTTCTAATAAAAAATTATGTAATTTCAATATCCAGCCATTGGATTTTGATGTATCTGATGGACTCAAGATCCCTCTTATGAAATTTATATTCTTGATGCTGCTACTTATATATTGTGATCAAATCATCCCTTAACTTTCCCTTTGATAAATTAAACAGATTAAATTCCTTCAGTTGCTCGTTGTGAGGTATATCTGTTAGTCCTATAACCATTCTTCTGGCTCTTCTCTAAACTATACACAGTTTTTTAACATCATTTTTGAAGTGTGGACCTCAGGGCCCAAATTCTATTTTGCCTAAATGCATCCAAATGATCTTGATGCATGCAAATATAGCCATGTAATAGCCATTTTTTATGCTTATGTAAATTTTAGATCTAGTCCTTATAAGTATACTCAGAGGGAATATACTCTAGCCATGTAGACACTGTGGCAATCCTACTCTGCTGAATACATGCATAACTGCATATCTTAACACATTAGTCATGAGTGATTAGCCACTGTTTGGCACTGGAGGCAGTGGAGAAAAACAAAGACCTTCCTACCTTTTAGTCCAATAAATTAGTGGTTAGGGTATTTGTTCAAGGAGTGGAAGACCCAGATTCTAAGGCCTTCTCATCTAAATGTGTTTTGAAGCTACATCTTCTACTTCCTAGCAGAATGGCCAAATGACTAGGTCATGGGATAGGCATTGCCAAAAGTATCCCCACCCTCCTT